GGGGACTCCTATGACTCCCTGCGTGACTCCCCTCACAGCGACAGGTAAAACTCACTGCAACAGGTGCATAATCACAGTGACAGGTGCATAATCACAGTGACAGGTGCATAATCACAGTGACAGGTGCTTAATCACAGTGACAGGTGCATAATCACAGTGGCAGGTGCTTAATCACAGTGACAGGTGCATAATCACAGTGACAGGTGCATACTCACAGCGACAGGTAAATCACAGAGGCAGGTGCAGACTCACAAATTTTCTCGCTGTGGGACAAATAAAGGTTTATTTTGTCTTATTATTTGAGCAGGATGGTGATCATTTGATTGTGCTTCAGGGCTCTTCTTCCACATGTACAGAGACTTATTTCTGGTACTTTTAGTTTGGATATGGTTCAGTGAGACTCTGATTGAAATGGGAATAGGAAAAGGAAATATTTAACACAATAACAATCATGTCATAAAGGAAATAGTGAGGTTTTTCGGGGTGATATGGCGCCCTCATGTGGCACAGTAGAAAAATAACAAAACCAAAAAGGAGGCTGCAGTCACTGCGTACTAAAATCCAGTTACAAGTTGATTGAGTAATTATCAGTGATGCTGAAGTTTGTTTTAGCACAGCCTGCTCATAATGATGAACATCAGTATTTATTTCTGTTTTATTCTGACCTCTTACAGATATGTGTCAGCGCTGACCACCCCTGCCCGACTGTCTCCGGTGGAGTTCCATTACCCCCCTCTGCCCCCACAGGTGCCCACGTTTCAGATCACCTCCCCCAACACGAGCCACGCCCTGTCCCTGCCCCCTGCAGCCGCCGCCTACCACCGAGAGGACGACCAGCCGCTGCTACGCTGCCCTGAGGTCTGTGTTTTTCTTACATTACATTACATAAGGACTGTACCCCCTGTATATCTCTCACCTGCTCTCTGCTGCCCCCACAGGACTGCAGTCTGTACCGACAGCCACGGCGGCCACGGAGGCCCTACCTGACTGAGAGCACGGGCAGCCTGCCCTCCAGCCCGTACCACGCTCCGGACGAGGAGGCGTACGAGACCACTCAGGAGTACGCCTCGTCCCGAGAGCCAATCAGGAGCCGGCGCCGACCGCGGAGGAACCGCCTCAACGGACACATCTCCCAGCAGCGCAGCGGCCTGCAGGACTACAGGGACTACAGCTCCCAGAGCTTTAGTGGCTCTGAGGAGGAAGAGGAGGAGGGCGAGAGCACGCCCTTCCTCAGTCTGCAGAACATGAGTGTGGACCCCGCGCGGCCCGCAGAGCCTCGGACTCACCACGGCGTCAGACCCGGCCGCTCGCAGTCTCATCGCTCCAAAGCCGACAACATGCCCCTCTAAGCCCCGCCCATCACCACTAGGAGAAATATTTTTATTTTGTATAACAGACAGATATTCTAAACAAAGGAAATATTTATTTTCATTGTCTACTAGCTAACAGCAAAGACTTTTTTTATAAGGGGGGATATTTCTATGTCGAGTTTTTTGATTTACAGCATTATGAGAGATGAAAAAATAAGAGAATTACGTGCCAATTTTTTCACGAGTTAGATAACTAGAATAATATTGTGGTGCCTTTTGCTGTATGCTGAAGTCGGAGGTCCCATTGAGTTTTGTAGCCTTTCTTATGAAGACTCCTGGTTTTTATAGAGTCCCACCCTGGTCCTCCTCTCGCGTTGGTTTTGCTCTGGTTTGGGATCTTCCTCTTTTGAACTGTGATTCTGTTCTGATCATGCAATATCGCCCCCTTGTGTCAGAGCTGTCAGTTTACATGATTTTGTCCAGGCCGCCCCAGGTGCAGGTAGAGCGGCTGATTCCACGCATAGGTTTAGGTCTCTGCCTGTCCCTCATGTTTCTGTTTGTTTTACGGAGCTGTGGAGTTCAGTTATTATGTGTAAAACAAGGGCTGTGTCTGAAATCTCTCACGAAGTACACTTTGATTCAACATTATTCATAGAAAACCTGTATTTACTCTGTATCACTTAGAGGTCCACTTTTTCCGAGCTCATCAGTAGGGCTTCAAGGATGAATAAAGTCTATAAAAAATATTGTATTTTATTAATAAACTATAATCATTATGTGGACTTTACAGACTCTAAAACACATAGGAAATATCGTTTTATAACAAAGATAGAGGCATTATGAAAATCAAAATATCAAAGAAGAATAAACAATTTCTGGTTTCATTAATAATCAGTGGTGGAGGAAGTACTGAATTTTGTTAATTAAGTAAAAGTACTGATACTGGAGCACAAATATACTAATACTATGAGTAAAAGTTCAACTATCACATGAAAAAATAGTAAGTAAATGGAGTAAAGTACCTGTTTAAAAATGTACTTGAAGAGTAAAATGTAAATAAACAACAAGTAAGTAAACAAAATCGTATTTCGCACAGATTTTGAGCTCTAATTAAACTTCAACTGTATGATCTTATGCATTCAGAGATCTGTGCAGAAAAGACTGAGTTGATATTTTTATATTTATTGTTTTTATTTGTATATTTTTGTTTGCTCAAATTACGTACAGTAGGTCTCAAACTATAATAAAAAATAGTCCTGTTCAACAATGTAGTGGAGTAGAAAATACAGATACCTGCTCTCAAATGTAGTCAAGTAAAAGTAAAAAGTATCCACTTTAAAATCTACTTAAGTAAAGTACAGCTACTTAAAGTAAAGTACTTCCACCACTGTTAATATTACACCTTATTTGTAAATATTCTCTATTTAGAACCCTACAGTCACCACATTTCAGTTTTTATTTGGTTCATAATGTATTTTAAAAGTCTCATTGTACAATAGAAAAAAATCTTTGACTAGTTGACTACTAAAATAATAATACTAAATAATAATAATAATAATAATAATAATAGTAAAATAACTGTTAGTTGAGGCCCTACTCTTCAAATCTATGGTCATGGCTGTCCAAACATTAATTTTATCACAACATAAATAATCAGAAATAACTGTATTGTGGTGCAAAGTCAGGATAATACACCACAAAAATTATAAACGGAAGGAAAGAAAAGTGTAATTATTTTGGTGAATACTAAGTAGTTTTAGAGATACCCAAACCAGTACTGTACCATTCATAAAGACACTCTTTTTACTATTTTAAAAATGTGAAAAACAGATAATTCATTTCATTCATTAATTCATTTTAAACTGTAGTGGTCAAAGGTTTTTCCTTACTTACCTTATGCATCCAGAGCATCCTAATTATTCACCATGATGAGTTTAGAGAGAGCCCAGAGCAGAGTTTTGCCATTACAGTAATACTAACAACTAGCATGCTAAGTCACGCTTCCTGAGTATCGGACAATAAAACGCTTCATAATTAGATACAGACATAACACAGCGGACCTCAAGAGCTGCTTACACAATATATCTGTACTGAGGCTAGACAAATTTTACTCAAAACTATGGACAAAAAATATGTACCTTTAATAGTAGCTTTAATTAAAAAATACAATATTAGCGGTGTAGGTAAGGATAATACACGAGTGATTTTGGACACAGCCTTCATATGTGACCTCTCCTGTCTCCTGTTTGATTGACAAGCTCCTCCCACCAATCCCCTCGCTGCCACAGGCTCCATTGCACTGTTAGCCCCGCCCTCCCGGAGCAGTGATTGGCCGACTGCCCTCTGCGTTTCCTATGCCAGCAGCTTAGTGCCGCACCGTGTCTCAGGACTCCCCCATGACATCCGCCCAACCTCTCCGGCCCGGTCTACCTGATGATTATTTTATATTTGATTTCACATCGTCATTACAATAGTGCTTTGGGGAGTGAAAAGAAGAAAGAGACTCCTGTTTGTGTTGTTTAAAGGCTTTATCATGTTAAAATAGTCACGTTTCACTGGTGCAGTACAGTGTTGGGGTTAGGACTGCTAGGTCAATAAAGAGGTCACGGTATCAAATTTTGAGTAGCGATTACAGTGAGAAGAAATATGTATTACTGACCAAACAGAAGAGTAATTCCCGTTCATTCACATGTTTTAATAAATCCTCTTTTTTTTTATTCAGAGTCAGTCAGTGTGAAACAAAATTCACAAACGTTTTGGTGCAACATAAAACAGTGGATTTTAAAAGCACATTTAAACTAGGATAAAATAAAAAACATAAAAATTCATTCTTGACCAGCTTCATGAAATCAAACCTTTGTATGATTAAGTAAAGTTTGCGTGACACTTTACAGGTTAGGTTAGTATTAGGGATGGTACAAGATCTCGTGAGACAAATTTTCACAAGAAAAATTTTCTCATGATCAAGTGTTTATATTTGAATTGGACAAAAAAGGGTCAGGTGTTGGTGAATTACATCTTTTACAGTTCAAAAACAAGTACCGTATTTTCTTCACTATAGGGCGCTCTGGATTATAAGGCGCACTATCATTGAATGGTCTATTTTCAAACTTTTTTCACATATAAACTATTAAGGCGCATTAAACGAAACACAACAGTTAGATAAGTCAAACTTTATTTAACGCGTTCACAATAACTCTCAACTTTGTCTAATTGTAACGCATAAAAACATAGTGTCTGAGACCGCTAGATTGTTAGAGTATTCACAATAACTCATAATTGTTCAAACAGTTGGGCGATTACAGCGTCCAGCTCGCCCACATCCCTCTCGTCATTATCCGAGTCAGTGTTGTTACTGTTCCCTGGCAGTTCAGTGATGATTCTGGTCTTGGTGAAAGCTCAGACCACAGTTGATCCTGATCCTTAGCCCAGGCGTCCATGATCCGTTGGCAGATGGTGGCGTAAGTCGCACTTTAACTTTATAATAGCCTTGAGTTTAAAGTGGGCATTGTAAGCGTGTCTCTTGATAAGTGCATTTTGATATTAAAAAGAATCACAGTATGTATTACTCCGTGATGCTCCTGACTATGGGAGCCGTAATCCTGCAAATGGTGCGGCTTTGTACTTTACTAAAGTCGTACTAAGACACCCGAATAAATTCATATATAAGGTGCTCTGGATCATAAGACGCGCAGTTGGTTTTTGATGAAATTAAAGGCTTTAAAGTGCGCCCTATAGTGCGGAAAATACGGAACTAGAATGGAAACAAAAATATGAAATCAAAGAAATTAAGGTCAAAATTGGAAATTGAATCATGAAATTTATATATTAGGGATTACGTTAAAACCTCGTTTTGTCCCGTGCCCGTGGACCCAATCTCATATCTCGTCTCGTCTCATCTGGAAATCTCTCTTGTTATGATTATAATGATTATAATGTGATATGTATAGTCACAATAACAGAATAATCTTGACATGCCTACCAGAATTGTATTGTTGCCTTTGAAGAAGCAATGGCAGCAGTTAGATAAGTGATAATTTCCTTTTCGATGAGCAAAATATTCAGTTTCCATGTTGTTTTAAAGCTACCATCTGTAATTAAATTGACTGACTCGCCCCGTTACAGGTTTCAAATCTGCCATTTACTTAGACTTAGACTTAGACAAATTTTACTGATTCACAAGGGAAATTATTTGGACACAGTACCTCACACATCACAATATAATAAAATGACAAAGAGCCACAAAATAAATGGTGATAATAAATCCTAAATAATTAGCAAAAATAGCAAGGGGCTGGTGTCAAATAAGGCATAATTATATAAATGTATGTGTACAAATAAAACTAAAAAAATAAAAAATAGAAGTAAAGAAATAAAAATATCACTGCAAGATGATATGATGATTGACAGGACATAGTTTTATCTTTACTGGCAAAAGAAAATCAAATAAACTTGCAGGTGCTTGCTTTAAAATCCTGCTAACACTGTAGTTTAGATCTCTACACAGGGTTAGAATTACACATGATTCTCGTATTCATTTAGCAGATCATTTTCAAGTCTCCTTTCAAATGTTTATGCTCCAAAAGTGTGCACTGTGTGACCCTAAAGCTGAGCGACCAGATTTTCAAACCGTGAAAGGAGGAAGTAGGTCTTTAAATCTGTCTGACTCTTACAAACACGTCACACTCACATGCATGGAATATTTTAACCACTCGTATGATTTTAGAACAACTTTTCAGGCAGAAAGGTGAAGCAGAGAGAACCACCAAAGCGCAGGGTGAGCAGATGTCCACATTTAGTCCCAGTTTTGAGCCCGGTGTCCCCTGTCCCAGCAGATTTATCCAAAACCACTGATTTGTCCCAGTTTCATGCAACACATTTATACAACTGTACACTGTTTTCAACACAAAACATGTTATTTTAAAGGTGCACTATGTAACTTTATGTCACCTGCTTGTTTCTATGGATATGTCATTGCTCTGCCTGGAATGTTATACAGTGTGACATTAAACAGCTTTATCTTACATTTATTCAATTACAAGTGGTTTTATAGCTGAAAATTACCTAAAAACACAGGCATTCTGACTGTGAGTGGGATCGCCTCTCCACAGATCTGCCCTGTAACTTGGTATAGTGTGGTCT